TTGGCTATTGCTACAAATATACCCCAGCGACTTAAGACTGCTTTTGTGCTCCAGGGTCACAAATATGACTTTACATATGAATGTATTACTACACAGCTACATGGTTCTGTTACTGTGCAGGAAACACTGAGAAGCCCATAAATGAAGATGAAAAGAAGGAAGCGGATGTGTTTATTTCTATTCAAGCGTTGCCAGCTCTAGTGGACATCCCTAATGTGTCAGAGATCAGCAGGATCAGCTGTGGATCCCGTCATACAGCGGCCGTCACCAGTGAGATCCAGATCTGATCACTGCAGCATAAACTGGACTCAACTCAAGAATCCGCTAGTTGACAAAATTACTAAATTAACTTGTTCTTTTTTTTATTTGTAGGTACAGGGGATCTGTACACCTGGGGATGGGGTAAGAGTTTGCCTCGTTTTCTAGAAATAAATCAATGTAAATAGTCTCTCATGCATTTGTGACTTTGCTGAATAAGTGCATTAAAGGAATAGGTCATTCAAAAATGAAAGTTTGCTGAAAATGTACTCACCCTTAGGCCAGATGAGATTGTTTCTTCATCAGATTTGGAGAAATGTAGCATTCCATCACTTGTTCACCAATGGATCCTCTGCAGTGAATGGGTGCCGTCAGAATGAGAGTCCAAACAGCTGATAAAAACATCACAATAATCCACAAGTAATCCAGTGAAAAAGTCCGTCCTCTTATCATCCTCTCACATCAAAATCTACCGACTTGTTTGTTTAGATCTACTTTTAAACTGTGCTTGATCTGTGCAGATTTCTCTCCTGATTCAGATGAGATGTTTTTTTCAATGGAGAAAGAAAATTGATGGATTATGGGCCCATATTTTAGCTGAAAGAAACAGTTTGAAGTGAATGTTAATGATGAGTGTTTGTTTCTTTCAAACACAGTTTTACAAGATGTTAACTGATGGACTGAAGTGGTGTGTATTCCTTGTGATGTTTTTATCAGCTGTTTGGACTCTCATTCTGACGGCACCCATTCACATCCATTGGTGAGCAAGTGATGTAATGCTACATTTCTCCAAACCTGTTCCCATGAAGAAACAAAATCATGTACACCTTGGATGGCCTGAGAGTGAGTACATTTTCAGCAAATTTGGGTGACCTATTCCTTTAATTTCTTTCTTTAAACATGAAGAAACAAAATCATGTACACCTTGGATGGCCTGAGAGTGAGTAAATGTTCAGCAAATTTGGGTGACCTATTCCTTTAATTTCTTTCTTTAAAAAAATGATACTGAGCCCAAACTGTTAAAAGGTAAAGTGTGGTAATTGTTATTTCAAAAGTGCAAAAAATGGCATTTTTTCTCTGTCTGTGTCATATTATTAGGCCATTATGGACAGCTGGGACATGGCACTGAAAATAGCACAGATGAGCCAACACTGGTGGATTACTTCCCTAGCCATCGAATGTGTGTTAAGGATGTCGTTTGTGGGTTATGGAACACTTTTGTGTCCGCTGTGCCAAAAGAACAACCTCCATCCTGACTGGAATAGATTCTTTCAGAGTGTCCTATAAATACAGGGATGTCAAAGTTGCAGAATTAGAGTTTATTAAATTAGGTACAAATATATGATCCAAAATACAGGATAGAAAGTAGATTTTTTTAACAGAGTAAGTAAAAATGTTTTCATTATAAATGGTAGAAATACTGAGTAAGAATATACATTCACAATTAGGACGCTACATTATTGACAGATCAAAGGCGCAGGTGAAAGATCCGGACCGGAAAGCAGCTTCCATTCTGTGTAAACTTCACAACACAATCTTGAATGAACTGTAAAAGAACATGCGCAGTCAATGAGGAGAAATGCTGCCTTCAAGTCTTAGGAAGGTCATACTTATTAGATCGGAAGTTGTAATTATGATGTGATTTTGGTCAGAATAAATTTGTAATTTTGGGCAATTTCGTATTTTTTCCTCACTTTTTCGCCTCTCAAATTTTTCACTAACACAAAATTATAAAGTGCAATATGTGATTCAGGTGTATAATTGATGCTTTATGCATTTTATAATTATTGTGCTGCAACAAAGAATGATGGGAAATGTAATTTAGTCATGTAAGCCAAATAAAATATAAATATTAGATGAAAAACTTAAATGAAAATGAGAAATGTTGCCTTGGCAACTAACTTTACTAAATAAGCTGAAGTACTACAATTACTAAAATCAAAACTGCAATTAAAATGACTCATAATGATAAATTATTAAATAAAGCTATATAGAAATATTAAAAAAAAAAACTAATCAAAATGACAAAAGCACTTAGAATTACTCAAACCTAAACTAAAATTAGAACTGAAAATATAACAAATAAAAACTAATTCAAAATATTTATAAATATTCTAAAAATGTTATATTATATTATTATTACTAAGGGTAAAACTAATGAAAATTAATAATAAAATTAATTACTAAAATAAACTAAAATAAAAACTGAAAATATAAAAAGCTAATTCAAAATATTAATAAAAACTATATATATATATATATGCATGCATAAGTCGGCTAAATTTGTTACATTATTAAATTAATTAATAAAATGAATGAACAAAGTTATATAGAAATATTTTTTTAATTTAATAGAAATCACAAAAACAACAAAATTACTCAAATATAAACTGAATATATAAAAAGCTAATTCAAA